ATCTGTAAAGTTGCAAAGACTAAAGTCTCAAATCCAAAGAGATATTCTTTATAAAAGTTAAGAGTCAACCACGCCTACTTAAAACGGCTCATTCTAACACGCCCCCACATGTCTATGGCACAATGTGGGAAGATTTGCATAACGCCGCCCAAATGTTCACGCAAAGAAAGAAGGCGTAACTTTTATTCTCGCTGTAGTATTGTTGTTGCCGCCGCCACCATGTCGTGAAGGCGCTGTTTGTTTCCTTGTGAAAGCGAAACTACTTTTGATAATGTTCTTTTTAGCAGCATCATATGACCCCTTTAAACAAACCAAAAGCTGATGTGTTTTTGTGTCAGTTTGTTCTGTGCATTGTCTACCAAACAGAACAGTCTGTTGAGGGCTTGTCTGAGCACAGCGCCTCATTTACGCTTTCCAGCAACATTGTTCACTTCTTCTCAGAAACTAATAAATAACCTCAGGCCTTCAGAGGAGCAGCATGGTTCATTTCCACATTGTGAAATGTCTTATTTTTTTAACTTAACTTTAACAGAGTTAAATGATGGTACACATCATATTCTCCAGAGTTCCACAGAATTGTATAATATGTATGATTAGACTGTTATAAACACAGCGATATCGGAATGCCATAAAAGAAAAAGCATTCACACTTCCTGACACTCCTCTGCGAGTCTGAACAGGACTCACCCCGTTCCTCAACTGTTACTCAGTTGTGGTTTGATTAAAGCCTTTCTGACATCCAAAGTTGTTATCCAAGAATCTAATGCTGACCCATTTTTGTTAAATGTGGTATTCACTCGTAATATATACCAACCTCATATTATAAAGGTGATGCTGCTGTATGTAGTTTAACCGATTTGTAGTTTATTAGTTTCACCCAGTTTATGTAATGAAGATCTTTGTGTATTTAAGTGCTGGTTGATCTGTTCATTTCGTTCTAAATTGAAATTGAAATGTTAAACAGTGTCCTGAAAAAAATCATGTATTTCAATTGTACCTCATATAAATAAGTTATAACTAAATGATCTCACCTAAAATGAAATGTAATTTTCAAACAAAATATGTGGGTTGCAATGCAATCTAATTAATTAATCAGGTTGCAATGTAATCTAATTGATCTGTTGGTTAATTTGGGCTGGAACTGATGTGCTAATTGTTCTCTGTTTATCTATGGTTCATCATTATGTTGCTCAGTTTAGTGAGTCAACACACTGGCTTCTGTGAAGGATGTACATGTGTACTACCATCTGCGTGTTTGCCATGCACACTCATAGAATATCTCATGAAACCTCTGCTTCTTCTGCAGAATACATAAGAAGATATTTTGAGGAACATTTAGGCCCAAAAAAACATTGATGACCATTGACTTACAATGTATGAGCAAAATAAACAGTGAGACATTTCTCAGTATATAAATATGTTCTTTTATGTTATAGAAGAAAGAAAGACCGATTTGGTAAACACGAGGGTTAGTAAATGATGACAGAATATTCCGTTTTGGGTGGGACTGTCCCTTTAATGATAAATAGTACTCAATGATATGATCTAACTTATCATAATGGCATCTTTTCAAGAAGTAATCTCTCAAATTTCCTCGTTTTGTATCACTTTATTTGCTAAATTTGTCAGAGTTATCTAAAGATGTCAATGCTGTTGCCATGATTTTGTATAAAAATAGCAATTTGTTACCATTTAAAAACATTGCTTGTCTATAAAGTTCAAAATCTTCCATAAATGTACTTTATGAATCACATGATCAAACTGGAATAGACATGTTTAACTGAATGAACTACATACTATGCACAAAACAGTCAGTTGGCACATCTAGGATCAGTATAATTTGACGGAAATGATGTCTAAACACACTGTAGTATATTCAATGGAACATTTCAGAACTTCTCTGACTTTTGCTGGGTCACTTATGCAACAGGGAGGTGGCTTTTCCCACACTTGAGATTGAAACACTGGCCTTTGTTTTTGCTCGGAGTGTGCGCTAGTTAAACTCACTTTGATAAAAGTCAAGGTTGAAGGAAATACACACAGCGGCATGTAGTTAACAGAACCAGCTCCAGAAGTATGATTTAATGCTGAAGGTATGCGTTAGGAGTCATGCTCTAGAGCCCCTGATGTATTGTCACACACATACAGGTCTTACGGTCTGTTAAAGTTTTCAGCACACAAACATACACAGTAAAACAGTCACTAAAATGTTCCTATTAAACTGCTGCTGAACCTTTATACGTTTTGACAGCCAAGTCCATTATCAGCAGACACACAGAGACATGATATAGTCATCATATGTGTGCAAGGCAAGTCAAACGTGCCAAGACTAACAAACCCTGATTATTTGCTCCGACTCTTTCCAAATTATAGTTTGTTTATTATCTCTCACTTCGTATTAAATTTTGTAAAAAAAAATCCTGTTGTCTTCCCTTCTCTTAGTGAATCCCACTTTTAACTTTGACCTAAAGAACCCATGTGTTATACTGTATAAGTGCCACTTAATTCAAATGTGGTTTTTCACTTTGAAGGTTGGCTCAGTTCATAAAAAGCAAGCAAACAAAAAGAGATGGTAACACTTTAGGGAACACATATTCGCTATTAACTAAGAGTTTTCCCTCAATAAGCTCCTAATTTGCTGCTTATTAATAGTTAGTAAGGTAATTGTTAAGTTTAGGTATTGGGTCAGTTAAGGGATCTAGAACATGGTCATAAAGAATAAGGCATTAATATGTGCCTATTAGTACTAATAAACAGACAATATGCTAATATGCATGCTAATAAGCAACTAGTTAATAGTGAGAATTGGACCTTAAAATAAAGTGTTACCAAAGAGATATTTAAAATGTATATAGTAATAATAGATAAATGTAATCAATTTTGAAATTTTATTACAATTTAAAATAACTGTTTTCTTTTTTTAATGTATTTTAAAATGTAGTTTATTGATGGCAAAACTGAATTTTCAGCAGCCACTACTCAAGTCTTCATTGTCACATGATCCTTCAAAAATCGAATTATTATTACTGTCAACAGTTGAGCTGCTTAATATTTTTGTGAAAACCCTGATACGTTTTTTCTAACTTTTTGTTTTCCAATTTGCTTTCTAACATTATGAATGACTTTCTTTTCACTTTAGATCAATTTAATGTCAATGTGGATCAATGTAGTGGATCAATTTTGAGTTATTATATACCACAGTGTATGTGCTAAAAGCTCTCTCTGTTTCTCCCAAACTGCAGGCATACTGGGTTTTCAGCATCTAAAACGATGGCAGGATGGTTGTTTCTGGATGTGGCCTTCAAATGTTTATATGAAAAGACACTCTGAGCCAATGAAGAATTTTCCACAAGAAAGGAACAAAAAAGCGTCCTGACTTTGTCCAATTGGATTGGTTTTGAATGCTAAGTGCGTTGTGATTTTTGTCTCTCCTTTACGTGTACAGTCCATTTATTTTATTTCACCTCTCCTTTCTTCCATTCACCCTGCTGCAAGGCCTGTCTCTCTGTTGTTCGGGAGGACGCGGTGGGTCTGACATGTCTGCCAAAGCCCCCATATACCTTAAACGTCAAAGCCGCAAAGGAAAGAAGGAAAAGTTACGTGACCTGCTTTCGTCGGACATGATCAGCCCTCCGCTGGGAGACTTCAGACACACCATCCACATTGGCAGTGGCGGGGGCACAGACGATCTTTTTGGTGACCTGTCGTTCCTACAAGGTAAATTTCACCTGTTACCAGGCCAAGAAGGTCACCAGGGGTCATTCCAACTAAGTCGCACAGCGAGTGTAAGCAGTCACCCCCCGGCCTGCGAGAGCTCGCCGCTTTTGAAAAATGCCTTGTCACTTCCTATCATTGGAGGGGTGCAGGCGCTCACCCTTCCGGCCCCCTCAGCCACAGCTCCTCTGTCTTCAACAGTCACGGCGGCCACTCAAGTCCCAACAGCACTGTCAACGACCCAGTCACCCCCAACATCTCCATCTCTCGCTCCACCTCCCAAACCTCCCAGACTGCACCTGGAAGAGAGGAGCATGTCACGGCATATGTCACTGCCTGCATCTCCGAACTGCTCTCCACTTCATTTGCACACATACGAACAAAGTCCAGATCCTGAGGAAAATGAGAAGTGTGTGAAGGACGGAGATGAGGAGGAAAAGCCGTATCTGTCCAACGCTGGCTCTATGCTTTCCCTCCATCTAGACTTGGGGCCATCGATCCTAGAGGATGTGCTTCAGATCATGGACAACCAGAGAACAGGGACATTCAGTGGGGGACTTACACCCAGTGGACGACAAGAGATATATACCTGAAAGTGAACAAGAGATCCGAGTCAAAGCTTGATGGTACATAAATGGACATAAATCAATGGTTTTTCTTCATATATTAAAACAGTTTGCCCTCTGAGAAAACTCATTTACCTGTTGTACAGTTGCATTTTCTTGGGAATTTTGACGTTTTATGCTCATCATACATATAATCTTTGGAAAAGACCTTTGGAAGCTCTAGGTTTGGGGCCAATTCAAACTGAATGTTCTATCGTTGGATTTCTCTGGGTTCAAATGGAATTAATTTCTCTTCATTTTGGACTACAAGTAATACACCAATTCTGGCTACTCTTAGATACATTTTGAAACATCTGAAAGCATTTAAGCAAGCACATGTAAAACTACCTGCATTGTGTATGTACTATTACAGAGCAACACTAGAGGAAAAGAAAAACTGAAATTTTTCTCTTTCAAAGCAGCAATGACATCATCTCCCCCTCTGTGTTGTTGCAATTTGTGTAATCGGGTAAAAATGTGCAGCTCCTCCCTAATGATCTGGACACACACACACATGCCAGGAGGCCTCTGTATCTACACCCTGGGATTGTAACTTTCTCTTTTTGTTGGGAGTAGTTTTCATTGTTCCGAAACAGAAAGCCAAAGGCTGTTTTTTCACGGAGCAGAATATGGAATGTTTTCCTTTCATAAAATACCCTCTTTTTTTTTTTTTTTTTTTTACTGTGTTTGG